CACAATACTAGTTTTTTTTAATACATAGAACTCCCGCATTAGGAATAAGTATACTTATCCTGTGTCGGAGGGACTTTACAAACATACATGAAACGGACACAAAGAACACCCAGACTCAAAACAACAATTTGTGAATCACACAAGGTGTCGTCGTAGTAAGCGGCGTGGCGACCGCTTAAACCACTACGCCATCCGTGAAGTCAACTAGTATCGCCTAGTTAACCCCTCCAGTTAAATGCTTGGGCTCATGACGGTAGGGTACTTGAAAGGTTTGAACCCACAATCACTTGATCGCAAATGCAACGCCTTAGCTATTATACTACCGCCGATTGATTAATCTAATTCTACGGTATAAATAGATCAATTTATTTCAAATTGTTAATGTAAAAACACAATAATTTAGAACACCGCTACGAAAGACACTGAGTCATACGACTCATGGTTGTTTGATATTCACGCAACAGTCCACAAATGTTTCTCGTGGTAATTATTACAGTTCCGTACTACCGTTAATTTAGCATATTGACCTCTGGGTCAGTCACGGGATAGCACAAATTATAAACAAATTAATAGTAGACTCAGTAGTCGTAATCTGGGTCCATTGCGTGTGCTAGCTTCGTAAAAGACGTATAAAGGTCAAAAAAAAGCATAATTATAATAACTATAACATGGCTACCGATGGGTAAATTTTGCTGAATTGGCCCTTAGTATATAAGTAGGCTGCACGAATGGCGTAGCGGTTTAAGTAGTCTCGTCACAGCTTCCTACTGCGCTGAGTACTGAGTGTTGTAAATTAGATCCCCTCATGGGACAACACTTTGTGTGATCTAAAAACTGTTGTTCTCAGTCTGGGTGTTCTTTGTGTCCGTTTCATGATAATCCAACGCGACATGGGATATACTCTTAGCGCGGGCGTTATATTTAAAGTAAACACAAATTTTATATAACTGAGAGGTTTTCTTATTTCTTTAAACGGTTTAATCTTTACATCGAATTTATTATACACTAACTAAGAAACAAGTTAGCGTCTGCTGTCTGCGGTATTTCCGGACCAATACGACCTTCAAACCTACAAGTAAAGAGCGTACTCCTTCCTTAAATGCCGGCAACGCGTTTGTGACTCCTGAGTTGCAATGAACATTGGGCGGTAGTAAATTTTCATTAGGTGACCCGTCTGCTCGTTTGCCCCCTCTTCCATAAAAAAAAAGCTGACTCGCGCACCTTGGTCTACTTCTCCCAGAAGGAATAAAATTTCCCCGTTTTTGCAAATTTCTCATCGATGCTCCTATTGGTCCTAGCGTGATGTTATAGTCTACAGCCTCCATCGATAAAAAGGCTATCCCACGCTAAAAGTTTTTTTTAAATTTCAAAGCAGTAAACGCTTAGACTGTAGTTAAATTTATATCGCATTGTAAACTGTGACGTCTCTTTTCTCTTTTTTAAAAAGACAACTCCCGCATTAGGAATATATATCCTGTGTCGCGGGGGACCCTACAAACATACATGCAACGGACACAATGAACACCCAGACTCAGAACAACAATTTGTGGATCACACAAAGTGTCGTCCCATGTGGGTCCGAACCCACAACACTCGGCGCAGTGGGAAGCGGCGTGGCGACCGCATAAACCACTACGCCATCCGTGCAGTCATGAGAAGTCGTCTGAACTGTTCGAAAGTGTATAAATTTCATCATCATCATCATCAACAGCCTTTAATAGTCCACTGCTGAACATAGGCCTCTCCTCAGAAAGGAGGTTTTGGCCTATACTATACCACGCTGGCCAGACGGGTTGGTGTAGGGTTTGTGTCAAGTTTTCCTTCTCTCTGCAGTGCTGTTGTCCTGCCTAGTTTTTTTCCCTTAGTCGCTTCTTACGACACCCACGGGATGAATAGGGGTGGTGACACTCTGTATTCTTAATCCGTCACCACGCGGTATAAATTTAGTATTTCTAAAAGTTTAATTTCAAATCCATGGCAGGAATCACTGTACTGTGTAATGTATATTTCGAATACATATATTTATGATAAATATTTGAGTATACGAATCAATTGTATCAAATATCAATGCTTAGCCGACCATTCCTAACGGTGGTGTCAATACAGCCTCGTCAGTTGTCACAATTAGGTCACGACGGCTACTTTATCGTCGCTTATTTCAAAAGGTTTCACTTTCTGTTCATTATTTTATTTATAGAAGGAAAAACGTGATGTTTGACAATGACGGTGTGGCAACCATCGGTAAGAAAAGACCCTGTAGATGTCATAACTTAAGTAGTTACTCTTTAGAAGGAGCTTTCACACCACAAACCGTATTCTAATTTAAAACTTTATAAAAGGTTTACGAGAAATATCAGTAAAAGGCTTAACAAACACTGTAAAAAAATAATAGAATTATCATTGTTTTTTTTATATTAAAGCAGCAGACGGGTCACCTGATGGAAAGTGACTATCGCCCCCCATGAACGTCTGCAAGTCAGGAATCACAAACGCGTTGCCGGCCTTTTAGGAAGGAGTACGGTTTTTTTCTTGATTTTCTGACGTGTCGACTGCAATGATTGTACTGGTCGTGGTCGCAGCCTATGAGTCTGACTGCTGTTACTAAGATTTTAACCCATTTGTAATTGTCGAAGAATACCATGTGTGATACCTCACAGAAAAACGGGGTTAAGCAATTATTTCGCTGCTTTTTACCATGATTCTGGGGGCAGGGGGGATTGCAGGGATGGTGTAGTGGTTTAAGACGTCGCCACGCCGATTCCTATTACGCTGTGTTGTGGGTTCGATCCCCACATGGGACGACACTTTGTGTGATCCACAAATTGTTGTTCTGAGTCTGGGTGTTCTTTGTGTCCGTTTGTGTCCGTTTCATGTTTGTTTGTAGTCCGCCGCGACACAGAATATCTTTCTAATGTGGAGTATTCTTTAAAAAAAATACTACTACTCTTCCAAAGCTACTAGAAAACCCTTTGAGTATGTGATCATATGATTCGTTTTGACGAGTGGTGCCGAGATGACATCAGAATAGGCATGGTGACAATAGTCTGATGATGAAACTCAGATGTGAACAATTGTTTAATTCTAACCCGAATGCCCAGAAAGATGGTTTTATTATTCTAGTATATGTATGTATCGTAAAACTTAGGGAAGGCCTAAACCAAAGGGCAAACTGATAGTAAACCGAAGTCGTAGAATTGTTATTATAATATGGATTCAAGTGACGTATGAAATGAATATTGTATTGTATAATTATAAAGTATATTTGAATTGAAATAATGATTGCAAATGAACTGTAAGGAAATGTATTTATTTATCTATACTAATATTATAAAGCTGAAGAGTTTGTTTGTTTGTTTGTTTGAACGCGCTAATCTCAGTAACTACTGGTCCGATTTAAAAAATTCTTTCAGTGTTAGATAGCCCATTTATCGAGGAAGGCTATAGGCTATATATCATCACGCTAAGACCAATAGGAGCGGAGCACCAATGAAGAATGTTTCAAAAACGGAGAAAATTTATTACTATTGAGAGACGCAGACGAAGTTGCGCGGGTCAGCTAGTCAGTAATAATAATCAATGATATTTTATTTCTAGAAAATTCATAAAATGCCTTCCTGTGTATTCCGAAAGTGCACAAATTACGACAACAAGTAAATAAACATAAAGGAATATCATACCACAGGTAAGTGTTGGTTTTGTTCTAAAATTCATTAATAGATGTAAGTACGGTTATGGAACAAATATTTTGTGCGTGCAGTATGAACATAACATATCTTCCTTTAAATATCGTTGTTTGGCACGGTTTTAAACGGCTGGATGGATTTTGCCGTTAGGGTAGTTTCATTAAAATTAGAAAAAATTAAATCGCCAGTTAATAAATTTAAAGTATATATTTTTTTAGTTTTACTCGACTATTATTGTAAATTAATTTTTTCGAGGTATTTACCATTATACCATTTACCAAACCTTGTACAGAGGAACCTAATGTCGTAATGGTTTGGGCACACGACCAGTCTACCGTGGTGTTATGCAGCCATTTTTGTTTATGCAAAGAAGATTACTGCAATATACACATATTTTTAGTGTTTTCATAACAAATAAACATAATTGAATTTCAAATACACGAATCATGAATATTAATTGTAATTACGAGTAAGTTATATCATACACCTAAATAATTCATGTAACTACACTTAGATTTTTATTATACTTTAAGAGGCAAACAAAGCGCATAGCCCACTTTTTTAAATAGATGATTTTTTTTAAGATTTCTTTAAAAAAAAGACTGAGAAAATTGTTTGTACTACTTACAACGAGGAGGAATAATATCTATAATAGATACATATATATATATATAAAATATATAGGGGAGAGTAACCAATACTGAATACCAATACCAATACCTCCTTTCGAAGGAGAGGCTTATGTCCAGCAGTGGACTATTAAAGGCTGTTGATGAACCAATACTGAACCATAAACCAACCGTATTTATACCAAAATGGCACTATATTTTTACACTAGCAACAAAAAAAGGAGCGCTAGCAGCGCCACTAATACTCCGCCATTTTGTAGAGCTCCTTTTTGTGACAATAGACTATATCAAATAGTGCCATTTTGGTAGAAATATATAAGTGATCCAATTTAAGCGCCGGTTCAATATTGGTTACTCCCCTATATATATTTTAGAATAATCTTACTTAATCAGCAGCGCCCCATAGGCTGTTTATTCCGTCATATCTTTTCCATAGACTAAATAGCATTGTGGAGGAAAATTCATTAGAAAACCGATTATTAACGAAATCATGAGTGATGTTGGGCTCGCTTTGAAAACGTGAAAAACGGTTTACAAAACGTACGTTTTCAATTGACAGATCATGGTGAATACCAAAGTTTTAGAATTGAAACGAAAACGTAAACGTGGCGTTACTCAATCGGGGCCCAGGCTAGTTTAATACCATAACATGTCTTATAATTAAAAAATAATCTGATAAGACACTTACTTGCACTTTTGATGTACTTCTCCGTAAGAGACTTCACTGAACTCTGCCGCACAGTCTTCTTATCGTCAGGCCTCTCTTTCCTCTCCACTCTATCACCTCTCCTTTCAACTTTCTCCACCCTTTCGACTCGCTTCTGCATCCTATCTGTTTTACTGTCTGCCCTGTCACTGATGATGTCTCCTACGATCTCCTCCTTCCTGGTTTCAGTGCGTCTGGTATCACCTGTTATTTCTTGTCTGCTGCTGAAACTCTCGGTGATGTCTTCGATTCTGGTGTCACTGACTTTGCGGTCGCTGTGCGTGAACTGGTCTATTGTGGCGCGTTCCTCCTTCTACAAAGATGGGTAATGTTTTAGAGGCGTAAATTAAATTAATTCCTACAGCTGCCTCGGTGGTAGCGTATGCGACTGCTGTTCTGAGGTCTCGGGTTCGATTCCCGGGTCGGACCAAATGTTTGTATGCTCAGCGAATATTTGTTTCGTAGTTTAGGTGTTTAAATGCTTTTTTTTTGTAAATAAATACATATTATGAATATAAACACCCAGACCAAATCAAACATTAACAGTTCATGCACACAAATGTTTGACTTGAGCGGGAATCGAACCCGCGACCTTTGGTATAGCAGTCCGTTACACAAACAACTACGATATCCAGTCGTCATATATATCGTCGGGTCGTCATAGTTATAATGATAGTTTGCCATATTAAACTTTATTGAAAAATTAACATGGAACGCCTGATAGATTGTTTATAGCAATAATTAATGCAGCATATTACAGCATGTGATACATACTGATTTATCATCTTGAAATGGAAGTTCATATCAAGTGCAGTGTTTTATCTGGAGCTGTCTTCGTTGTGAGTGCTTTGTCCCATTATTTTTAATTAATAACACAAGCTCTTAAATTTTATGAATTAAATATAACTAAGTCTGTTGGTCAAGTGATAATTGATCTTAACTGCTGTCAGAGGTCGTGGGTTCAATTCCCATCCAGGACAAATAATTGTGTGATGAGCACGATAATTCGTTTTGAGTCTGGTTGTAATTTATCTATAATATGTCTGAAATGTCCGTGTGGTGACGGATAAAGAATACGGAATGTAATCACCGCTATTCATCCCGTGGGTCTCGGAAGAGGCTGTTAAGGGAACAAACTACGCAGGACAACAGCACTGCAAAGAGAAGGAAAACTTGAAACAAACCCTATACCAACCCGCCTGCCCAGTGTGGTATAGTAGGCCAAACCCTTCTTTTCTAAGGAGAGGCCTATGTCCAGCAGTGGACTAGTGTTCCTGATGATGATGATGATGATGTCTATATTTAGAAATATATTAGTATGTTTTTCAGCAGTCTGGTTACCACAGTACACGCTCTCCCAAGTTTACGATCACACGACCCTGTGTAAGATCTGTGGGGTGATTATTATTTATTATTAGTATTCCTTATATTTACCCCATGAATTTCCTTTAAAGTAGTCCCCGTGTCTCCTCCAAACTTCCTAGTGGTGGTAATAGCTGCCAGTCCATGTATCCTGGAAGGTTTCTCCCCCTGACGCTGCAGTAGCTGCTCCAGCTCCTCCGGTTCCGTGGAGTAGGCGGTGACGGAGACAGTTCCCTCAGGTTCACCACCGTTACGAGAATGGTACTCTTGACGAATCACAGTGCCTTTTACTGTTGAAAGATTAGAGTTATGTAGGTACAATTTATTATATGTGTTTAGTATATTATTTTATTGTATGTATCTAATAACACCACTAGCCTTGTTCTGCACATTTTTAATAAAGACAACTCCCGCATTAGGAATATATCCTGTGTCGCGGGGGACTTTACAAACATACATGAAACGGACACAAAGAACACCCAGACGCAGAACAACAATTTGTTGTTCGCACAAAGTGTCGTCCCATGTGGGGATCGGACCCACAACATTCAGCGTAGTAGAAAGCGGCGTGGCGACCGCTTAAACCACTAAAAAATCCGTGCAGTATTATATTCCCTCTAGTACGTTATATACTCACCAAAATACAACAAATATATACCATGTGTAAAAATGTTTTATATTTATATATATATATATATACTACTTTTATTTCCTCTTTTTATACCACGGTTGCCTGTAAGAGATTGCCTCTGAGCGATAAGGCCGGCTTGTACTTGTCTAACCTAATTTAAGTTACTTATTGTATATTTATACCTGGTGTACATTAAAGCGATATATTATTATTACAATTTAGACAATTGTGTTTGTATGCAGAACATGTTCTACTCAAATATGTATTTATGTATGATTGCTCTAGGGCCCACAGTACAAGTTATGCTCGTTGATAATGATGCGATTATTTAGGTTGAAAAGCAGATGGGAATAAAGATACCGAATTGTTTTGTTTTTGTCTTTTAATATGTACTACTGAGCACGTGTGACAATTCATTTAAGTCAATTAAAATTCAATTAAAATCTATCGAAATTTTGAAAAAAGTATTTTTTTATTTTATTGGAAAATAAAACCTTGAAGTACGTAAGTGTACGGAAGTGACGTAAAAGCCTGACTTTTAACCAGGTTCCTTTAAAAAAGGAAACATCGACTTCTATGTTTTTGAATTAGGTATTATACTCGTAGTATTAGTTTTATAAATACATTTTGTAATAAAAAGTATTTATTCGTCGACTCTTTATTTTTCACAGCTGCAGCGAAAATTTATAACAAAAAATATATTCTTAAGTCAACAATATATATATATGTACTAATATTTATATAGCAATCAGTCTACTAATGACATTTGTAAAAAACTAAAGAAAATACAAATTTGTAGGTCGTTAAGCAAAAAAAAATCGTTGTACAAGCAGTACAAAAACATTTGAAACTGTTTTGCGTTAATCAGTCAATATACTTTTTACATTAAAAAAAGAAGAAAGATTAAAAGGTTAAAAGCACAAATCATCATCATCATCATCAACAGCCATAAATATGCCACTGCTGAACATACCCCTCTCCTTAGAATGGAGGTTTCCGCCTACTATACCACGCTGGCCAGACGGGTTGGTATAGAGTTTGTATCAAGTTTTCCTTCTCTTTGCAGTGCTGTTATCCTACGTAGTTTGCTCCTTTAGTCGTCTCTTACGACATCCCCGGAATGAATAGGTGTGGTAAAATGTCGTATTCTTGTACCGTCACCACACGGATAAAAAAAAGCACAAATATTTACCTATAAATAAAATAATTTTAACCACTGAGAAGCTGCTTGATACTCTTCGTGACTACTACTTCAAGTCTACAACGGCACAAATGGCTTCCTAACAAACATACAACCGTAACAATTCAGTTGTGACAATATTTGTTCAGTGAAACATGTTAAAGTGAATCATTCAAGATAATATGCGCCTCTATGTACATTTAAGATAATGAATTACACAAAATTTTGCTTCAATTCTGGGTTATTTAAACTGTAAATAGAAATAGGCTTATAACAGAGAGTTGTGTCAGAGATCTTTTCTGGTTTCATATGCACTTCATCGAGCAACTGATAAATACTATATATTTAAAAATCTATAGGTACTGTAAATATTGAAAAACAGTTATATTTGTATTTTCGCGTGTTTGAGAAAATCTCCTGACTAGAGGAATATATAAATAGGAATACATAATAAAGTTTATGTAAAGCCAAGGGCAGAAAGCTTAAATATCTGAACAATGCCAGTTTTAAATTTAAAAATATTCGGAGACGGCTATATTAAGCTACAAGCGTGGATAAAATTTGTTGTAATGAGTCAATATTTCAAATAAATAAAATAAAAATATAGGTAGGTAACCAAATGTCATCCATGTTGTACTATCCGTGGTCACAGACATCAGCCGGTCACTATATCCGTTTTTGCGTACTATAAACCAACAACATACAACCAATTACAATATTTGGCTGCTTGTTTATGGCTTTCCGTACTTCTTAAGACATGTTGAATTATGATGATTTGATATTGTATTGACAGAAATTTAAACTCACCTTGATAATTACTAGCGCCCTTTCTTAGCGCTTTGATGCCGAATAGTGGTTTCCCTTCAGCATCTAAAGGCCCTGGACCATAACTCGATGTGATCACGTCAATGGGCTTCGAAATCACCTTAGAAGGACTTGGAGCCCTGTACCTTGGTTTCTCCTCGATCTTCTTACTACTGTAGGTACGAGTTTCAGAAGTAATCTTCTTCAAGTTCCTGTCTGTTACCCAGGCAGGCTTACTTTCTGGAGTCTGCTTCTGTGGTATCTTCTTATCAACCTCGTATACAGTCTTAATGATGGTTTCCTTCTTTAGAGGAACAGATTTTGTATGATAAGTGGGTCGCTTCTTATCTGGGCTTGGTGTTCGTTCGTGTAGTCGTTCACGACTTTGGGATTTACGTTCAGGGCTATGTCTCTTCTCAGGTGACGGTGATCTCTTGCCACCATTCATTTGAATAACTTCAATGACCTCTTCTGACGGAGTTCTCTGAATATTTTTTTTAGAAGTAGAGATTTCTTCAGTGATTTTGTGTTCTTCTACTTGTTTTACTGTCTTGTGCTTTTCTTCGGTAGTCTTCTTCTTGGATTCAGTGAACTTGACTTTGTCAGCCTCATTTAGACCTACTTTTTTCATGTAAGCGAAGGCATATTCATTGAAACGGTTTGCTTTCGGCTTTGGGCTAGCAGTTTTTGTGGGAGACTGAGTTCCGGTCTTTTTGTGGGGGCTGGCTGGACGATTGGGACTCTTTGTTTTTAATGCAGCCTTTGGAGCAATTTTCGTAGGACTTTGCGGCCTGCTTTGCTTTTCGCTTATGATTTGAACCGGTTCCTTGGCGTGACCATTAGGTATGAGATGGTCATGTTTTATGGGCTGATCGTGATCAGCAATAGTTCTTGTCGGTGTCTTTGTTTGACGATCTGGAGATACCGTTTTGTGTGGTTTAGTTTTAGGAGCTCGGTCAGGCGATCTTGTTTGATGGCGTTCAGAAGACCGTTCTTTTTGAACCATAGTAGTTTGTTTAGTAGTTTTTATGTGTGTAGAATGGTCTACATGTTCAGTTTCTTTTTTCCGAGCAATTCGTATTTGAGCTCTGATGCGTCGTCTCTGCTCGTAACCCACGACCTTTTCCAACTGAAAATTAGAATACAGTCAGAAGAAAATTAAAAAATATAACAGAGATAGAGAGAATGAGTGCAAGCATTAACATTTTGTGATTACTGACCATTTGATCCAGGAGGTCCAGGTCGAAGATATCTTCTATGCAAGGGTGTTCGACACTGAGTCGACGCTCGCTGCTCACCGTCGACCGTTCCACACTCGTTCTACGAAGTTCAACGCCAAACTTGCCACTTCCTCTGCGACTGCTCACTTCCTTCTCATCGACTATCTTCGGCTCCTCCTTGCTTTGACTAGTTTTTGTTGGTCGAAGATATCCAGGTACTTTTTCGTGTTTATCGCCCTCAGGATGAATCTTTGGAGATTCCTCACTTTGCGTTGTGGGATATTTTGACAACAACGTCTTGGTATTTGTGGTGGTTTCCACTGTGTGCCGCATGGGAGATTTAGACCTGCGCCCATCAGGTGACTGCGCAGTAAGACGAGTAGGACTCGCTCGTGGCTTATCTTTAGGGCGAGGATGATGAGGTTGAGTTAAAGTGCCGCTAGCGGGACGTTCTTTAGCTTGAATAGGGACAGAGTCTATTTCGGTGTCTGTTTCTGATACATAACATGAGACTTCTTCTACAGATGGATGTAAAACTTTTGTGGAGTCAGGCTTGGATGATTTTATCGTTACACTAATGTCGGTCAACTTAGTGCTTGTTCTGGAATGAGTAGTGTCTTTCGTTTTAGGTGTTGTTGAAGCGATGTTTTCGAATAGAGCTTTAGCCTTCTTTACAGCTTCACTACTTCGCAGAGTGGTTATTTTCACGGTTGGCAGTCTTTCAGTCGGCTTATTAAGGTAGGGGCTACTGTAGTCTTTAACCTTTGGATGAGATGTAGTTATTTTAGTTACTGATGATTTGTCGTCTGGATGGTTAGGAACTTTCTTGATAGGGACTTCTTCATCCTCAACCACAGTAGTTTCTTCGATCTCATACGTATCATCATTAACGTCATCAACAATCTTCTTCATTATTTTTTCATGCTGCTCCTTTATTTTTTTCTCTTTCTCTTCTATTTCTTGGGTTTCTGTCAAAAATTGCTCAGCTGTTTTAACAAACTTATTAACTTTGTCTGAAACGCTGAGCAAACAGTCATCGCTCTTCAAAGCTTCATCAACATTGGTCAAATCTGGTCGTTCTACTCTCTGTGGAGCAGGTTTAGTTTTAGGGGATTTTACATTTTCTGCAGTCTCTACAAATAAGTGAGCTTTATCGTGGACACTAAGTTTTGTATAATCATCAATATACACGGTATTTTTATCATATTCATCGACAACTCTACGAGCAGGACTCCTATCTTTTATGTCCCTAGGTCCTTTTGCAAATTTGTTGACTTTCTCCGAAACGGATAACAAACATTCATCAGATTTTAAATTCTCATTGGCGAAATCAGAATGAACTCTCCGTTCAGTATCCTTGAATATATTAGTAGTGTCTTTGGTTTTTGTCGTGGTATCAATACCCTTAGTAAACTTGGTGACTTTATCAGTTACACTAAGACGACTTTCATCTTCTTCAATTAGATGTTCTATGTCGGACTTCCTTACAAAGAGTTCATCGTCTTCACAAATTTCAACAATATCATCAACAATACTTTCAGTTTCATGGATAATATGATGAGTTCGTTTGCGGAGTTCGTCCTCAGGCTCTTTGACCTCATCAGGATAGCGAGGGGTTCCAACGTCATCTACAAAATTAACCGGAGTAGGACAAATACGATCTGGTGAGTTTTCCCTGGAAGATTTTGATTGCTGCACATCTATTATAATTTCATCTTCATCACTCGGAGTATTCAGTGTAGTGGCAGACTTTGGCTTACCAGGAAGCCTGGACTGAGGTTCCCTTAAAGAAGATTTTTGAGGTTTAATTTTTGAGTTGGACATGTCACTAACTTGTATTTCAGGTTTGGACTTCATTCTTTGGGGAGAAGTAGGCGATGACTTCTTAGACTTTATGGTAATATCACTAACAGTACGAGTAACCTTTGTATCCATTTCTTTCTTTGGAATTCCACTCTCTCTTATTCCTTTAGGAGTAGGTGTTCGTGGCTCACTAGGTCTGCCAGTAGGTGATGGAGTCGATTTTGTAGTTGTTTTAGAAGTGGTCATCTTAGTTACACCAGTTGTCTTCTTCAAATCACTCGTTGTCTTTTCTATCTTAGTGGTTATTAGAGTTGCAGGAGTGGGTTTACGTGTTAAGTGGGAGGAAATTTGTTCTTTAGGTTTGATACCACTAGTCTTAGGGAGTGGAGATTGAGGTCGCTCAGTCAAAGACATTGGCTTCTTTGGTGAAATGCTTCTCGGTTTTGCCATTGACTCTGTACCCTTGTCATTTTTAGTAGGGCTTGCAATGCCCGTAGGTTTCTTAGTTGGTGATGTATTTCTAGAAGACGGCTTACTAGGTTGATGGCCTACCTTTTGATCTTTAGGCATTTCTTCTTTGACCTTTCTGGGATGAGTGATGTCAGTTTTAGAAGTATGTTTCTTTGAGACCTCGGTCACTTCTTCAGATATCATTTGACTTTGTGTAGTTATGTTTATGTCAATATCTTGTAAACTGGTTGTAGTTTTTTCTGGACTTCTTTCACGGCTCGGCGACTTTTCTTTACGTTCAGGCGATAACTTCCTGAGTGATTTTTGAACTCGATCTAAAATTTCTTGCTCTCGCTCGGACATAAGGAAGTCTGTACTGACTTCTGTTACTGTAATAGTTTTTTTAGATGGAGAAGGGGTTCGTAGTTGTCGAGGTTTCTCTGGCTCTTTCAAATAACCAGGCCTTGTCCTCGAGGATTCATCAGGGGATCGAACGCGTGAAGGTGATATAGAAGATCGAGGCGAGGTATGTTTCTCTTTAAAATCAGTTGTCTCAATATTTTCAGTATCATGCTTTGAAGTAATAGAAGCAGTGGGCTTCATATAACCTGGCTTTCTATCTGGGCTGTGAGATGAATCTTTCCTATTTGTATCCTTGGGTGTAGAAGGTTTCTTGATAGAACTGTCAGGATATGGTTTAGAAGGTGACACTGTTTGAACAGTATCCGGTGTGTGTTTAGAACCTTTTTGAGTTGATGTGCTACTTGGTTGACGTGGAATGAGGTGTTGCTTTTCAGTTTTTAAGGATATCTGCTCCTGAATATTTTCAGTTGTGGAATCATATTTGGAGGTAATCGATGTAGTCGTACTCATATAGTCAGGCGTTTTATCGACAGGAGTTTTTCTCCTCGGAGATGAATCATCTCTGTAGCTCCCATTGGGTTTTCTACCTGGACTAACATTTTGTGTTCTGTTTTCATTTTGTTTGCGGCTTGGACTGTCGTCTTTATGATAAGGTTTCTTCGAAGAATCAATATGAGTTGGTGTTCTACGTGTAGATGATTCATACCTACTGTTTGTTGATTCAGTTAAAGTGGTGTCATCGTAGTCATCTGTGGTGTCATATTTTGAAATGGTAGTTGAATTTTTAGGGTAGACAGGTCTGTCTGAGGTATATTTTTTTTTGGTAGGGGATCGCTCCTCCTTCTTGTGGGGTTCCGATGACTGTTGTTGTGTTGAAGGTTTGCGTTCGAGATTTTGATTTTTTGAAATATCAGTCTTAGGATGTGCTCTGGTATCCGTACGAGGATAGTCAGATTCTGGGAACTTATCACTTGATGGATGTCTCTCTTCCATAACATTAGACGTACGCGTTTCGACGTCATATTCAGTAGTAATCGTCTCATGTTTGTGGAGATGAGATGATATTGGTGTCATATAATGCGGTGTCTTTTCGCTATGATGTTTACGAGTCTTTAAGTCGTGAGCACGGTTTTCTTCAGTATCAAATGAAGAAATAGTCTCATGTGTGTGACTATGTTGTGGAAGTGGTTGCATATAATGTGGAGTTTCTTTTGTCAATAGGTGAGTTGGTGAATGTGAGCGCTGTGGCATTTCATTCTCAGTAGATATAAGCTGTTCGTATTTATCTTCAGTTGTAGTTTCAGTTTCTTGAACATGGCTATGAGGAGAAATAGGTGTCATATAATGCGGTGTCTTCTCGCTATGATGTTTACGAGTCTTTAATTCGTGAGTACGGTTCTCTTCAGTTTCAAATGAAGAAATAGTCTCATGTGTGTGACTATGTTGTGGAAGTGGTTGCATATAATGTGGAGTTTCTTTTGTCGATAGGTGAGTTGGTGAATGTGAGCGCTGTGGCATTTCATTCTCAGTAGATATAAGCTTTCCGTATTCATCTTCAGTTGTAGTTTCAGTTTTTTGAACATGGCTATGAGGAGAAATAGGTGTCATATAATGCGGTGTCTTCTCGCTATGATGTTTACGAGTCTTTAATTCGTGAGTACGGTTCTCTTCAGTTTCAAATGAAGAAATAGTCTCATGTGTGTGACTATGTTGTGGAAGTGGTTGCATATAATGTGGAGTTTCTTTTGTCGATAGGTGAGTTGGTGAATGTGAGCGCTGTGGCATTTCATTCTCAGTAGATATAAGCTTTTCGTATTCATCTTCAGTTGTAGTTTCAGTTTTTTGAACATGGCTATGAGGAGAAATAGGTGTCATATAATGCGGTGTCTTCTCGCTATGATGTTTACGAGTCTTTAATTCGTGAGTACGGTTCTCTTCAGTTTCAAATGAAGAAATAGTCTCATGTGTGTGACTATGTTGTGGAAGTGGTTGCATATAATGTGGAGTTTCTTTTGTCGATAGGTGAGTTGGTGAATGTGAGCGCTGTGGCATTTCATTCTCAGGAGATATAAGCTTTTCGTATTCATCTTCAGTTGTAGTTTCAGTTTTTTGAACATGGCTATGAGGAGAAATAGGTGTCATATAATGAGGAGACTTTTTCATTTTATTACGATCAGGTGATGTTTCCTTAACAATCGAAGTAGGTTTCTGGGTAGGGCTGAGGTCAGAACCTTTATCGGTATCATGGGGCCTTACAGTCGTGTTACGATAATCTCCTGATTTTGGAGTTTTACGTGTAGGTGATTCAGATGGCTGTGACGGTTGATAGCGTTCGGTCTTCAAAGTAGTTGTTTCTTCATAATCCTCTAAATCATGCTTGGATATAGAGGATTGGGTAATTTTCAAGTAACCGGGAACTTTCTTTGGTGTCCCGTGAGTAGGAGAAGATTCTTCAGGATATTTATCATTAGGTCTCTGCTCTGAGCTAGCTTTTCTTTGCGAGGGTTTATCTTGAGTATCTGAAGTTTTACGCTTAAAGGTTTTACCCGAAGGATGGTCGCGTTCAAAATCATCTACCTCAGTCGGAACTTTACGTGTAGGAGATTTAGGCATTTCATCATACTTTGATGTAACAGAGGACTTTGTGTGGCTTGGTCTAGTCGGAGATGAATCTTTAGGCTTATTTCCCGTTTTCTCAGGACTGGCTCTAGATGGTCGCTCCTGTGATGTTCTTCGACCTGGAAGTTTTTGAGATGGAATTGTAGTTGGTTTCGAAGGCTGTGATGGATGTTGTTGTATTTTGAAAGTTTCTTGTGTAGACTTTACTAAATCTTCAGAAGAACCGTATTCAGCAACCATAGAAGTTGTACTTTCCAAGTAACTAGGTCTAGTTAAAATTTTGCTTGGTTCATCGTGTCCTGGTTTATTAGGTTGGTCCATTTTAGGTAGTGACATCACGTCTCCTGGTATCTTTCTCATAGGCGAGTCAGTTGAAGGAGATGTTTTTCTGTCAGTTCTCTTTGTTGTAACAGTGATGTGTTCAGTCTCTTCATCTGTATCGTATTTAGATAAAACAGTTGTGGTAGTCTCAATGTTACCGCGAGTTTTGTCTGTAGGTTCCTTTAATAGAGTTTTTTCTTTAGGTTGATATTGTGGCTTTCTTTCAGGGCTTAAACTAGATCTAGGAGAGGTACCTGGGTGAAGTTTGGCTGGAGAAGTAGGACGATCGCTACTTTCACGAGGTTTAGGAATATGCTTTGAAATTCTGGACGGCGCATCTTCTATGGTTTTTCTTTGTGGGCTGGTCCTCGTCTCAGGATACTCAATTGTTCTGGACTCCTTGACATCAATTTCTTCAAAATCTTTAGTAGATTCATCGCTTTCTATTACAGTTCTTTTAACTGTAATTATATCTTGTAGTTTTGTAGGAGAACTATCACGTGAAGTTTTATATGGTGTTTTACCAGGTTTATGGATAATATCCTCTTTTTCATGTTTTATGAAGTCAGTCACATCAACATGAGTATCGGTAATTTTCTTTGTTGTCGGATATTCGAACGGAGTATCTTTAGGACTTGGACTGCGGCAAGGAGAAATACTTGGAGAACTGGTATTTGTTTCTGGTTCTTGCAAGTATGTGGTCTGTTTCGTAACAGTTTCAGTAGTATCTTCAATCATACCTAATATCTTACGGCACCGATCTTCATAAGTTTCGCGTCTTTCTAAAGGCGGTTTAGATTTGAGAGGAGCTTTAGTTTTTGGTTCATCCGCGTGATCCTTCTTTACTACTTTATGACCAAGTAATTCTTTTGGCTCCTCTGTTGGTGAAATACGGAAACTTGTGGGCGGTTTCTCCACTGGAGATACCTGACTAGTATCACTTACAGGTTTCTTTAAAGAACTCTTCCGTGGAAGACCTTCTTTGAGTGGTGAAGTGCGTCTTTCAGGAGATGGAGATCGACAGGGGATTTTAGAAGGGGATGGAGATCTTTTCTTATCAAGGCTCTCAGGTCTCTTGGAAGTTATCATGGTTTTGTCTAATGTATGTGTTTCGTTATACATTTCTTGGTCATCTAAGTCCGTTACCACGACTTCTTCAGTTTGAGGAGAACTAAAGTAAACAAACCCACTCACAGAGGTTGTTGGTGAGCTCTGTCCAGTTGAAGGTTCTGTATCTGTTGGCCTCTTAGGCTTCCTAGTCGGGCTAGAAGATGGTGTCACGAGCTGACGAGGATGTTCCTTCGTAGTCTTTTTATAAACTTCCTCAGTAGTTCTCTCAGACGTTAAGAAGTCAGTAGTATGCTTGTAATTTGATGATTTTGTAGGAGATTTTACCGGTGAAACACTGTCACGAGGAACCTTTTTAGTGGGAGATATTGGTAGTTCAGGAGCCTTCCTTGTTGGAGACGTGGACTGTTCCGGGCTTTTCTTTGGAGACTTTTCACGCGTCAGAGAGTCATATTTGACATCTTTAGTAGTTTTAATCATCTCGGTGGTTTCAGTATTAGGCCTTTTTTTGTTATACGTTCCGAATTTCGATGGTGATTTTTCCCTGGGCTCAGATCTTTCACGTTGAGAATCAGTATCTTTGGGGAACGGATGTGTAGTAGTAACAGTGTCTGTTACTTTTTTAGGGGCATCGTAATCTTTGATAGGACTTCTTTTTGTAGGAGAGGGACTCTTTTCTCGTTTAATTGCATCGGGGTTGTCAGTATGAGGCTTCTTCTTATCATACGTTCCAAATTTTGTGGGTGATGGCTGCCTAGGTGCAGTCTTCTCTCTAGGAGAGTCCTTGAGACTCTTCCTTGTAGGAGAGGGACTCTTTTCTCGTTTAATTGCATCGGGGGTGTCGGTATGAGGCTTCTTCTTATCATACGTTCCAAATTTTGAGGGTGATGGCTGCCTAGGTGCGGTCTTCTCTCTAGGAGAGTCCTTATCCTGTGAAGTCTGATGTGTGGTAATAAACTTGCTTGTTTTGATAGAAGTATCGACACTGTCCTGTTTTTCAGTGGTAGTTGTCCTTTCTTGAGGTGACGGTGACCTTCCTCCCGGTAGATTTTTGACAGAATCAGTGTCTTTGCTAGGACTCTTCCTTGTAGGAGAGGGAGTTTTATTTCTTGTAATATCCACGGGACTTTTAGAGCGAGGCCTGGTTTTATCTTGCGCTCCAGGTTTTGATGGTGATGATTGTATGGGCACTGTTCTTTCTATAGGAGAATCTTTTTTCTTTGGAGAATATGTGGTTATTATATTGTCAGTAACATCAATAGTTTTAATAATAGTGTCAACGTGGTCATATTTTTCAATATCAGTTAGATGCTGTTTAGGTGATGGTGACCTTCTTCCAGGTTCTTTTTTTATGCCATCGCTGTCTTTGATAGGACTCTTTCTTGTAGGAGAGAGACTATTATCTCTTGGAGAAGAATGTCCAGGACCTTTAGATATACGTTTTGTAGTATCTGAATGCGTTTTGTCTGTGCGGGTATACATTTTCGTTTCTTCATCGATAAACTTATAGTGATCTTCTTGATATTTCTTGTATGGTGGAGTATCTTGCGGTCTACGAGTAGGGCTAGGGGAAGACGTATGTTTTGTTGGAGATGTTTTTTCAGATGGTCTTGTAGGAGATTTTCCAACATCAGTCGGCTTGCTTGAAACTGTGGGCGTCATATAGCCTGGTTTTTTATCAGGGCTAACACTTCCTCGCTTTGGAGTTGTATCCTGAGGATACTTACCACTAGTTGGACTACTTGGACGATCATGCTCTTGAGTAGTATCAGCAGGTAGGTAACCCCGAGTAGGTGAACTACTTTTTGGATGACCGTCTACTGGCTTCTGAACACCTGGTTTCCTGTCAGGACTTTGACTAGGCCTTTGGTGATTAGGATGATGATCAGCCGGAGTTTTGTCGGGGCTTACAGTGGATCTATTTGGGTAAGATGGGTATCCAGATACAGAAGAAGGATGTTGAGGAAGTTTTCTTTCAGGACTTTCACGTAGCCTCGGCGATTGACGATCTACGCGATTAACTGGAGAATCAGTTCGTGGTTGACTATCAGAAGGAGATTTTAACGTATGCTTTCTATCCGGACTAACACTACTTCTGTAAACTAAGTTTTGAGGTCTTTTTTCCGGACTAACACTCGGTCTTTGGCGGTGATCCTGTGGTTTTCTTTCAGGGCTATATCTACCACCGCTGGGTTGACGACCTGTAGGTGGTCTGCGTTCATCAGGTGTGGAGTGCTTGTGAGACTTTATCTCAGTTACAGAATGTGTAGAATTAGTAGTATACTTGTGGTCAGTAACTGGGCGAGTAGGTGATGTTCTATCTACTTTATTGGGGCTACTGCCGCGGCTTGGTGGTTTTCTGTTAGTTTTATCTGGGCTTACACTGCTTCTCAATGAAGATGTGCTTGATTTAAAGGTTTTACTTCCAGGCGACGACGCTCTAGTAGATGGACGAGTGGTAGATGGTGTGTCACCACGAAGAGTACTAGCCCAAGCTGTATGTGAGGGACTCCAATCAGTACTAATTTTTTTCTGAGAGAAATCTGCCTGATAAGTGGTTTGGCGTTGTTCCGTGTTAATTTTCTTTACATTGATTTGTTCAACCTTTTCATTTCTTGTGATATTTACAATCTTCTCGGTGCTTTTCGGTTGGATATTTTTAGGCTGGGTGTCCTTGGGTTGGAAATCACTTGGTTGAGAGTCACTCAGATAGCTTTCTTTAGGAATTGATGTTTCTCTGGGTTTGTAGCTTCTGGGTTGAGCGTCTCTTGGCTGTACATCTTTGTAATCTTTCTCGTGTATATCGCGTTCGTCACGGATAATAATTATTTTTTGGCGGTTATCATCAGTAGTATTATATTGTCGCTGATTTGTTTCACGATGTGTTTGTACATAATCGTCATTGTCATTTGATTCAATAGTTTTGTGGGTTCTGGTCACGTAACGCGTTGTACGATTAGAATCATCGTCAGTTTTAAAGTGATCAACAACTCGTTGGTTAGCATTTGTTTCATGATGCTGAATTTTAGAATAATAATCATCAGTTTTAGAACTGTCTGTTGTCTTTTTGTTTGTTGTTGTTTGGTGATGTTGTATATTAGAGTAATCATCATCAGTTTTCGACTGGTCAACAATAGTTTTGTTAATTTTAGTCACGTTATGTTGAATATTAGAATTGTCATCATCGACAACAGTTCTATTAATTTTAGTAACACGTTGTATATTAGAATAATCATCGTCAGTTTTAGAATGATCAATCACTCTTTTATTAACTTTTCTCTCATAATGTTGTGTATTGGAGTAATCATCTGTATCTCTCGTGGAGTTATCAGCGACTTGTTTATTAAAATCATAATCATCAACGTTCCGTTGAGAGTCAACGATATCGGTTGGGCGATAGTCGCGGTTGTCTATCGTGTGATGAATAACTTTTGAGGAATCCTTTGTGTTTGATCGTTGTTGAGTCGAGTAGGATCTATTCTCGCTTCGCGTCTGATACACCTGTTCGGCTCGGGTGCTCTGTACTGGAGCACGAAATTCCCGCTTTGTGCTCGTGACTCGAGTGCCATCCGGCAGACAACGCGTTTCTACTATCACTCTGGTATTATCATCGGGGTAGTCCACTTTTCTCGACACGAGCTCTCCGGTCTCGTTATCATTCTGCCTCAAAGTCTGCTGATGTTCATTGCTTCTCAAATTCTGCTCATAATCATTAGTTTTAGTTATTTGCCTCCTGGTACCGGAGGAGGCATTGTCGTTGCGGTTAGTATCATAACTTCGTAGGTCATAGTCATCGTTGGTTGTATATGGCACAGATTCATGTCTCGTCGAAGACATCTCTTGGAACTTGGAAGTTGATGTCGAGGAGTTAGTTGTTGACGAGACGTGTGTACCGTCGTCAGTCTGACGCACGACGTGTTCGCGAGCGGCCGTGTTGGATGCGGTCACATTGCGTTTTAGGCTGCTGTTGTCGTCCTGGTATTCGGTGACGGCTTCTTTGTGGTGATCAACAGCAGCAAATTGGCCAATGCCGCCGTCGACGTCATACCTGCCTTCAATGTTAGCGTGGATAGACTTCACGTGTGTGCGGCCGTCATCAGTAATTTTGTTCTGCTGCTCCACATTCCAGCCGGCGTTGGAGAGTGCTTTCAAATCTGAAAAAAGATGAACATTAACATCCAATAGTGAAAGTTTCACACCGTTACCGGTTAATAAGCGTTAGTTCTGTTATGGTAGTGTTGTGTATCGTGCTTGGGGGTGCACCTTGGCCTCGGTAAGTGAACTCCTTGGGCGGGGAGCCCGCATCGCGGACCTCCTTGCTCTTCATAGACTGGAAGCTCTGGTCTGCGAACGACTTGACGTGGTCTTGCGCCGCCGTGAACTCATTACCTGTAGAATTCGGGCACAATTCCACTGACTTGAGTTTCTTTGTTCATAAATTGGTGTTTTCGTAATAAATAATATTATGGAGGATCACAAAAGCCTGACATCTGATTTCACGCTTATGATTTTTGAGTGTTTGTATAAAAAACCTATGTGATCTTCGATTTCGGTAAAATTCAAACCCCAGTTCCCAAATTCATAGTTACTTTTAAGATAAAGACCAAGAACTACCTTGTCTAACATACAACACGCACTATTAACCCATCTTTTGAGAGGAAGTAGAACATGTTTTGATGGAATGTGTTCGGAACCAACAACTTAGAGAACGCCTGCTTAATGATAAGTTGATGGACATTGGAAGATATAACAGCATCCTGGCCAGTCCTTTGACAGATACAGCTAAGGATATACTTTGTATTTATAATATTTAAGTTAAGTTTAAAACAAAAAATGGCTATGATGGGGCGACGTAGGCTAAGCTCCGTAAATAAAGACTATAAAAAAAATCTGTTCAATCTTATAACTCAAATAGACCCAATATGACAGACTTAATATTATTTTGTAACAGATTTATTGCAACATAGCACAACTAAAGTTTGCTGAAATAGTTTCATTAAGACGTAATCTACAATACAATTGTACAATGAGTTTTCTTTTTATACTCTTATGATCTTACCATTATTATACAGTAACAATAATACGTTTATATTCACCATGGAATAAATAAAGTCACTGAGAAAAAACCTAGCTTTAAGAACAAGGCTACTCATTCCACCCATCTTACACACATACAAATATTCACGCCTTATTCTCGTCATGAATAGGCAGAGACGACACAGGTACACGCTCGCTTTTTCAAAATATTGCGCCCTGGTTAGGTCATGCATCTTTTGGTCCCGCTTTCACAGGAGCCTTCTTGAGAAATTCTTTCATTCTTTTCTCATTCTAATTAACACTGATAACAATCTTTGTGATAAATAATTATAAGTAGGAGAAATATAGTGCTTCTTTATATACTCAATGGTTCACCTATGTATGTAGGTGATTTTGATAAGTGCAATTAAATAAGTTTCGTACCTTTCCCTTCGTGCCTGGGCTCGGGTGAGTACAGGTTCCGCAGACGTTCCTCCCTCAGTCGGTACATGTGCGCTCGAATCTCTTTCTTTCGGGAGAAATCCTCCGTCTGCTGCCACTGGAATTTTATAAAAGTTTCATTTAATTTATCTGCATTTATCACAATTTTATTTGGTGTCGGTGAAATGTGAAAATTTGCAAAGAGTTTTGGCTAGTTTCCTTTATGGCAAGCTGCCTCTAACTCTCTAGACGTGGACTAAAAGAAGTAAATTTAGGTTCAAAATTGGATAATGGAGAGAACACAATACCGGGGGTGAGACTGAAGTAGCTCAAAGACATAGGGGTTGCATATCCGTCAGTGTGTCCACCCTGTGATTGGAGATGCCTCTAGGATACGGACAGTTATATATACATCATAACCAATGCTTATTTACAACGCAATTCTCAATTCCATCATTCGCTAAAGTCTGTGAAAATAAGAAGAAATTGGAACCTCGGACTAACTTGTAGGTATTACTAAGAAAGACGGGTTGTTTCAGTAGCCTTATTCGAGTTACACTCACTTTTGCCATAAATATTATAATTTCATCATCATCATCATCATCATCAACAGCCTATACTAGTCCACTGCTGGACATAGGCCTCTCCTTAGAAAGGAGGTTTTGGCCTACTATACCACGCTGGCCAGACGGGTATATTATAATTTAAAGAGTCACAAATGAAAACTATATTTATAAAAGATTATGTGGACCCGTGGAAGTTGAAACTGAATAAGTGTGCACGTGGAAATTGTAAATAAAATCTTTGAATAAATTAAAAGGCACCGAAATAGAACATCTCAGAATTTTTAAAAGAGGTACTCATATAAACATCATCAACAGCCTATACTAGTCCACTGCTGGACATAGGCCTCTCCTTAGAAAGGAGGTTTTGGCCTACTATACCACGCTGGCCAGACGGGTTGGTATAGGGCTTGTGTGGGGTGCTGGGCTAGAAAACCTCCTCGTGGTGCACCCTGGAAACGCTGGCGATGGTACTGTTTCCTCCTTGTCCTCTTGGAGGAGAGGATTATCGCCAGCGGCCAATATTCTAGCAGAAGAGGCAGCCGTTCATCGGCTCTCGGGCAAGGCCTGGTCCAGCAGGGTGGGCGTGTCTGCCGGTTGCCCTGCTGGCTCTTCGCTCTTCGGAGCATGGAGGAGGAAACCTCGGTAAAAAACCTGATGGCGGGGCCCTGTAGGGGCCACAGTTTCTCCGCTGATAGCGGTGGAGAAAGGAGGACGGGCTCGGCGTGTACTCACACTACCACCGAGCAGGCAGGGGGACGTAGTCTCCCTGTCAACCGTCGGCATATCGCAATCCCGAGAAGAGCGCTGTGGTTAAGTCTCGCGGCTCTGATCGGGGGCGAGGGTCTTGCCTTAACCGCCCGGACCGCGAGGAAGATAACCTCTCTAAAAAATTCCCCGAATCCCGTGTTCTGGTGCGTGGCCAGGGGATGCATGGCTGATGGGAAGTTCAGTCGCGAGCGCACTCCAAGCCGAGGTACCTGCGGACCCCTCGGTTGGGTTAAAAACTTACGCTTGCCCGGGTAATGGGGGATCTCTGCCCGGGTGGACCTTTAGTTCTCCCCCACTCGTGGGATTATTATGGAACATGTTAAAAATATAGACAAACGATCGGAAAACCAAACTCAACGGAAAAAGGCAAGTCAAACGGATACGGCAACGAAGGCAAGGAGGGAGAAGAAGAACAGTGGAGCGGATGGGTCGTCCACTGAGGGTGAGATGGTGTCAGGAACGCCTATCTCGATGGGGCTCCCAGAGGTCAGTCTGACTCTGGTCTCTGGGAGCCGAAGAGCATCGGATCGGCTGCGTTCCGGATCCGCCGCTTCGTCGGATGGCGCGGAGGCCATGGAGGCGGAACGAAGCGACAGCAGGAAACGCGGACGCTCCAGGGAAGAGGGGACCGACACGTCCGGCGAAATGATGCCACCAAAGGTGGCAAGCAGCCGCCGAGGGAGGGCGCGTAAACCGGCCTCGGCCTCGGTCTCGACCCCGTCAGGCTCCGCGTTCTCAAACGCGGAGTCCTACAGGAGCGTACGAGTGGACGGCGAGGCCGTAGCGGAGGAGGAGATCGCGGATCTCCTGCTCAAGGTTCGGGAGCCGGTGGGGGGAAATGCCCCCCAGGCTCCCGTGTCCGTGCAGGAGAGGGCGAAAGCGGCGGTGGCCGTCATCAACAAGGTGGCCACCAAATCCGTGAACCTTAAGGGCTCGTTTGTGAGGGCCCTTAAGGACTCCTCCTCCGCTTTGTCGGAGGTCGTGGAGGGCCTAGCGGGCGACGTCTCTCGCCTGCAGGTGGCCAACGAGAAGCTGACGGAGCGGGTGAACGAGCTGAGCGCTCAGTTCGCCCGCTTCCAGGCGAACCTCCCCGAGCGGGAAGCCCCGTCCGCGTCCCAGCCTGCCCCTACCACCAACTCAGGGGCATTTGACTCCCAACTGCGAGAAATCCTCATCGCAGTTGGGAATATGCTGGACGGACGCCTGGCTGGCCTGGAGGTGAGATTGCCTCCTGCGCCGAGTATGCGCCCCCCGCTCGCGTCGACACAGCGGCCTAAGGCCGCCGCTCCGACCGCGCTCCCCGTAGTGGGAGGCCGCGTCTCCTACGCGGCGGCGGCGTCTGCCCCGACTCCATCGGCTCCCCAAAAGCCGAGGAGGGGGGCCAAGGCACCGGCCCAGGCGCCGGCCAAGGCACCGGCTAAGGCGCCGGCCAAGGCACATCCCCAGGCGCCGGCCAAGACGGGGCCTAAAACGGCGCCGAGGAGCGGAGTGGCATTCCCTCCGCTCCCCACTCCGACACCCCTGCCGGGCCCCTCCGCACCTGCCCCCTCCAACGAGGGTTGGCAGGAGGCGAGGGGCTCCAAGAAGTCCCGAAGGCGGGCCAAAAAGGCTGCCAAAAAAGCAGCCCAGGCCCAGCCTTCGCCACCGGTGGCAACGGCCTCCACAAAGAGGCCGCGGAAGCTGCAGCCGCCCAAAACCGCGGCTGTAGTGGTGACCGTGTCCCCGGAGGCGGCGGACGGCGGGCTGTCCTACGCGGCCGTGTTTAAAAAGGCCCGGGATAGCCTCGCTAGCGACTTTGGAACGGTGGGGGTCAGGATGCGCCTCGCCCAGACGGGAGCTCGAGTCCTCGAGTTCCCTGGGGCTGAAGGCGCAAAGACGGCGGACTCCTTCGCCGAGAGGCTGCGGGGAATATTTGCGGCCACTGATGGTGTCAGGGTCGCCAGGCCTACCAAGTGCGCGGAACTGCGCATCTCGGGCCTGGACGACTCAGTGACGGCCGAAGATGTCCGCGCTGTAATCCGGGAGAAGACGGGGTGCAGCGCGGACAACGTCAGGGTCGGCACCATCCGCCCCGGTCCAGGAGGGCTTGGCGCCGTGTGGGTCAGCTGTCCCGTAGCGTCGGCCAAAGTATTGGCCGACGCCGGCAGGCTGCTCATCGGTTTCGTGAGCGCCAGGATCACAGTCCTGGCGGCGAGACCGATGAGGTGTTTTAAATGCCTGGCCACGGGACACACGCGCGTCAAGTGCGACAGTTGTTTTGACTGCGGCGGACTGTGTTTCCGCTGCGGTCAACCGGGGCATAAGGCGGCAGAATGCTCTGCCGCCCCTCACTGCCCAGTGTGTGCGGCGGGCAATAAGCCCGCCAATCATCAGATGGGGCAGAGAGGCTGCAAGCCTCCCCGCAGTTCTCGGCAGACGTCGGGGGTTAGCCAGTCGACCCAGGCTGCCTCCGATATAGTTCGTGCGTCGACGTCGTCGCCCATGGAGGAGGTTGTAGAGACGATCCAGTAATGGATCAAGTCTCCAACCTCCTGGTCCAGACGAACCTGAACCACTGTGCCGCGGCGCAGGATCTCTTCCTGCAAACCATGGCACAGTGGTCGATAGGTGTTGCCGTAGTCGCGGAGCCCTATTCTGTCCCTCCCCGTCCAAACTGGATGGGTGACTGGGACGGCTCCGTGGCAGTCGTCGGTTCCACGACGGCTCATTCCCCGCCCTTGTCGCTAAGAGACAAGGGCACTGGATATGTTGCCGTCGAGTGGGGGGGGATCACCATATATGGTGTCTATTTCTCCCCCAACCGGAGTTTGAACGACTTCGAGGTTTTCCTGACCAGCTTGGAGACCTCGATACGGCGACTACTGGGCACGTCCTTGTGCTGGGGGACTTCAACGCAAAGTCCATTGCGTGGGGTTCCCCCAGGACGGACGCCAGGGGCGAGGCCGTAGAGGAGTGGGCGGCCTCGGTGGGCCTCTGTCTTCTAAACAGAGGCTCCGCCAACACGTGCGTGCGACAGCAGGGGGGGTCGATAGTGGACCTCTTGTTCGCTACCCCTGCCCTCGCCGCACGAGTAAGGAACTGGCGTGTCCTGGAAGAGGTTGAGACGCTCTCGGATCACCTGTATATCCGATTTGAGCTCTCCCGGACCCAGGACTCCAGTAGGGGTCACGTGGCGCGGCGTTTATCCCGCTTTCCGCGGTGGGCTGTTGCCAGGCTGAACCGGGACCTACTAGAGGAGGCAGCCATAATTCACTCGTGGCTGTCTCCTCAGGCTCCGACCGAGGAGGTCGACGTGGGGGCTGGCCGCTTTCGCGATGCGATTACGCATGTATGCGATGCGGCCATGCCCCGCGTTCGAGGTCGTCGGCCTCCAAGGAAGGAGGTCTACTGGTGGTCCCAGGAGCTGGCGGACCTCCGTGCGGCCTGTACACGTGCCCGGAGGTCCTACACGCGCAGTCGGCGGCGTCACCGTGGAGACGGTGAGGAGGACCGGCTTCATGAGGAGTACCGACGGGCTCGGAAAACTCTGAAGGTGGCCATTAGCCGCGCCAAAGAGGAAAAGAGACAGGAGATGCTGGAGGGTCTTAATCGTGACCCCTGGGGTCGCCCTTACCGCGCGGTGCGACAAAAGCTCCGCGCGTCGGGCCCCCCCCTTACGGAGACTCTCCAGCCCAGCTTCCTGCGAGAAGTGGTTGAGGGCCTTTTCCCACAACGAGCGGAACACACTCCCCCGTCGATGGCCTCCCTGGCCGGAGACGACGGGGAGCACGGGGAGGACAATGTTCCGCCCGTCCGGGATTCGGAGGTAGGGGCGGCTGTTCTACGGATCCGTTCCAAGAACACCGCCCCTGGGCCAGACGGGGTACCGGCCCGAGTGCTGGCCCTGGCCCTCAACCACATGGCAGACCGCCTCGGGGAGGTGTTCAACGCTAGCTTGGCGTCGGGACGCTTCCCTGAGTGCTGGAAGAGCGGGAAGCTGGTCCTACTGACGAAGCCGGGACGGCCTGCCGATTCGGTCGCGGCCTATAGGCCCATCGTGCTGCTGGACGAGGCGGGCAAATTGTTTGAGAGGGTTCTTTCTGCCCGCATCGTCCGGCACCTCTGCGAGGTGGGCCCCGATCTGTCGGACGCCCAATTTGGTTTTCGGGCGGGGCGTTCGACAGTCGACGCCGTGTTGCGCCTGAGGGCCGTGGCCGAAGAGGCCGTGAGCTGTGGCGGCGTGCTGTTGGCGGTGTCATTAGACATCGCCAACGCATTCAATAGTCTGCCATTCAGCTGCATCAGGGAAGCACTCCACTATCATGGGGTGCCAAAGTACCTGAGGCGGCTGGTGGCAGACTATTTAGAGGAGCGTACCGTCGTGTACGAGGACCGAGAAGGTAATCTGAGGTGTCGGCCCATGTCGTGCGGTGTTCCACAGGGGTCTGTTCTTGGACCCCTCTTGTGGAACATAGGGTACGACTGGGCCCTTCGCGCCGATTTCCCCCCCGGGCTGGGTGTAATCTGTTACGCAGACGATACCCTTGTGACAGCCCGGGGGGCAAACTTCCAAGAGGCGGCGCGCCTGGCCACAGGGGGAGTCTCCCTGGTGGTCGGGCGCATTGAGGCGCTGGGCTTACGGGTGGCCCTAGATAAGACGGAGGCCCTGTTATTCCATGGGCCCCGTCGTGGTCCACCCCCTGGCGCTTCAATAGTGGTCAACTCGGTCCTCGTACCGGTTCGGGCCCAGATGAAATATCTGGGCCTGATCCTCGACGGGAGGTGGCTCTTCGACGAGCACTTCCGACAGCTTGCTCCAAAGCTGGTCGGCGCTGCGTCTGCCCTAGGGCGACTTTTGCCCAATATGGGTGGACCCAGCGTCGCGACAAGACGGCTGTACACGGGGGTTGTCCGGTCAATGGCACTGTACGGTGCACCGGTGTGGGCGGCGGCTCTGACCGCCCAGAATAGGGTACGCCTCTGGCGCCCTCAGAGGGTAATGGCGGTCAGAGCCATACGCGGTTACCGCACCGTTTCGACGGAGGTGGCATGCGCATTGGCCGGAACTCCCCCGTGGGATTTGGAGGCGGAAGTGCTCGCCGAAGTTTATCGGCGAGTGGCTGACTTCCGGGCGGAGAGCGGATTTCGCCCTCCGCCCGAGGATGTGCGCGAGTGGCGCGAAGCCGCTCGCCGAGCCACGATGGCTCGTTGGTCGTTCCGGCTGGAGACTCCACGCGCTGGCTTTGCCGCCGTGGAGGCTCTCCAGCCGGTCATCGCCGAGTGGGCAGGGCGGCAGCACGGGACCCTTTCCTTCCGGCTGACGCAGGTGCTTTCCGGGCATGGTTGCTTCGGAAAGTACCTGCACACGGTCGCTAGGAGGGAACTGAGTCCCGCCTGCCACCACTGCGACTGCAGTGAGGACTCGGCCCAGCACACGCTGGCGGTCTGTCCCGCATGGGCGGCGCAGCGCCGGGCCCTCACTGCAGTCATCGGAGTGGATCTCTCGCTACCGGCCGTAGTACGCTCCATGGCCGGTAGCGACAGTTGTTTTACCGCGGTCGCAACCTTCTGCGAGGTAGTAATCTCGCGGAAGGAGGCGGCGGAGAGGGCCCGGGAGGACGACCTCCACTCGGACCCGATCCGCCGCCGGCGAACCGGGCGGCGGAGGCCCGCCTACCATAGCCTCATGCCGCCCTGAGTGTGGCCGCGGGTGGACGGGGTGGGTTTCCCCTCCACCCGCATTAGTTGGCCAGCCGCGAGGGGGCGGCGTCCGCGTGTGCCGGACGTCGCCTATAGAGAGGAACAACACTGAGACGGAGCCCGCACCAGGAGCGGGCTGGCGCTAGGAGGGGTCCGGATGTCTTAACAACAGCTGTTCCCGGATCCCTCCTGTTACAGGCGCAGAGTGGCACACCGTGTGGTTTTAGTCGGTCCGAGTCCGACACACCACCCCGCCGCAAACCCCGGAGGGGTGACGGTCCGAGGGGATTTCCACACGTTAAAAAAAAAAAAAAAAAAAAAGGGCTTGTGTGAAGTTTTCCTTCTCTCTGTAGTGTTGTTTTTCTGCGTAGTTTTATCCCTTAGTTGACTCTTACAACACCCACGGGATGAATAGGGGTGGTGACAATCTGTAATCTTAATCCGTCATATATACACCATACCTTGATTTTCGCAACATGATAAAAAAGGTGTATTTAAATAATGATTATAACAAACTAGCACATAATGGACAATGTATGTGCCCTGTTTGTCTCCACATCATAAAAATGTGTATAAAAGAAACAATTTAGCGCCTGATTAAAATTAACATTTACCAGTTCGCTGCTTGCAAATTATTTCTCTTAAAATTTTATCAGGCGCTAAAACCTTTCGTCTCACATAAAGCTCTGTTCCTATGATTTAAATATTATTGTGGTTTATTTTGGAAAGCAGTATAATTAATTTTAACGTTCTTAACTTTATTGCAAGAACTGAGCTGAAAAAAGTGACCACTTTAAGAAATGGATAACAGTGTGAATTCAAAATCAATATCTCACCATGCGGCGCAGTAAATCCTCGTCTTGAATCAACGTCACGTCCCCGTCAGACATTCTGGAACAACAAACAAATCTTTATTGTACCACTAACATGGCAAACAAGCATAATCGTTAACTCATAGAAAGAAATACCGCGATTTGTCAACGTATTAAATATTTTTCTTTATGAACTTTGGTAAGTAACAAACAGTTTGAAGAATTAAATATACCTTACATTCATATACATATATTATTATTATTTTTATTTATTTTTTACCACATTCACACAACGCCATTTAGTCCCAAAATAAGCAGAGCGTATACTATGGGTACTAGACAACTGATATAAATACATATATATATATATATATTTTTTTATAAATAGTACATACTTATTATGCATAGAAACACCCAGACCAAATCAAACATTAAATGTTCATGCACACAAATATTTGACTTGAGCGGGAATCGAACCCGCGACCTTTGGAATAGCAGTCCGTTACACAAACCACTACGCCATTCGGTCGTCATATTAACCGACGTACTGCTCCCTCTCCCTCCCCTTTCCGTCTTCTAAATAGAATTTTTTACCAGCGGACTCTAATACAGGACAGACTTAAAACAGAACACCCAAACTCTTAGTGCTATAAAAACATTATAAGGTCCATGGACTCCATAAGCTAATATAATACATATGTATATTTTCGTATAGTGTATTAGTTTAAAGTATAATCCACAGAACGCTGTGTTTTGTTGTATAATGAAGGATGTACCGAGTGCATTTATAAGGTCACGCAAAATTAACTGAGACAGAGTATCAGATTGCACACAGTAGAGGCAATTTCATAAATCTGATAATAAATTTGTGAACTGCAAGCGACGCTGATAATTTGTTCAAGGTTTCATTCATTCTTCACAATGTTTGATTGAATGAGTGAATGTATTAATTGATGAATTACCTTAATAATTGCAACGGCACATGTCATGGTCGAAAGAAGACATTTTTAAAAACGAATCTGTTTCGCTGACTTATGAGTCTTCATTATGACTAATCAGAGTGGTCTTGGATCTTGGTCTATTTGTAGGTAGTATATTGTAGAGTTATATTTGACTGGCCTGTTGGTCTAGTGGTCTACTGGTCTAGTGGGTAGCGCCAGAGGTCGTGGGTTCGATTCCCACCCAGAATAAATAATTGTGTGATGAGCACGGTCATTTTGTTCTGTGTCTGGGTGTACTTTATCTATAATATGTATGTATTTAGAAATATATAAGTATGTTTATCAGCAGTCTGGCTACCATAGTACAGGCTCTGCCTAGTTTGGGATCAGACCGCCGTATGTGAGATGTGTGTGAAAAAATATTATTATTATTATTTATTTTGTACGTTTTATACGTTATAATTACATATATATGTACGTTGTTACAAGGGATTAAATACCTAAATATTTAAATTATATTGATATAAAAACTGCAGGATACTACTCCTCGGTAATGGCCCGAAACTAGTCTTGTATTCCCAATACTTTTATTAACAGAAATAAATTTACTTCGTCAAGTAAAAAAACAAAAGCCAAACAAAATCATACAAATACTATAAACATTTATTTATTTATACATCTTTATTGTACACCGCTACAGTACATATTGTACAGACAAGGATGGACATCTACATGTGGTATTACAATAGGCGGTCTTATCCCACATATTAACATACGCTAGTAGAGCTACTAAACTGTACCTAAATGGTTTTTTTTTTTAAAGACAACTCCCGCATTAGGAATAAATCCTGTGTCGCGAGGGAATTTTACAAACATACAAGAAACGGACACAAAGAACACCTAGACTCAGAACAACAATTTGTGGATCACACAAAGTGTCGTCCCATGTGGGGTTTGAACCCACAACACTCGGCGTAGTAGGAAGCGGCGTGGCGACCGTTTCAACCACTACGCCATCCGTGCAGTCAATTTGTCGGTTTGATCTTAGCATCTGTTACCCTCGTGCCATATGGCAGTACACGCCGCCTGGTCGAGAAGGTTCTGTCCATATAGGCACCGTGCTCCCCGTTGCCCTTGTACCTCTTTCAACATATAAGGAGTCATTACTTTTTATCGCGAAACACATATTGGAATTATTTGACGTGTCCTACATAAGGAGGTCGTAGGTTTTAATTATTTTATTTAAATTAATTGCTTTAGTTACTGTGGTACCTATATTTAGTGTATATTCCTATAGAAAGTCAGAATAAGTCTCATCATTACGTTATTCTAGACTTATCTGTTCAATTTTGTTTGTCTTATATTCACATCAACAGCCTTTAATAGTCCACTGCTGGACATGGGCCTCTCCTTAGAAAGGAGGTTTTGGCCTACTATACCACGCTGGCCAAACGGGTTGGTACAGGGCTTGTGTCTAGTTTTCCTTCTCTCTGCAGTGCTGTTGTTCTGCGTATAGTTTAGTCTTTTATTCATTCAATAGAAATTAATATTTTAATTCATATGACTGCACGGATGGCGTAGTGGTTTAATCGGTCAACTCGCCGCTTCCTACTGCGTTAAGTATTGTGGCTTCGATTCCCGCGTACCGGTCTACAAATTGTTGTTCTGAGTCTGGGCGTCCTTTGTGTTCGTTTTATTTATGTCTTACGTTACGTACACAGGTAATATTCCCAGTGCGGGGGATGTTTTTTCTTAACTGAAACTAAACTGAATTAAAACTTTCTGGGTAACTTCTTAAATTTTGTGACATTTTAAAATAGGAATGTAAGTTAGGTTTATTATTGCACCATAACTTCTTAAAGCCAGAACAGATTTGCGTCTGTATGGTGCGTAATTAGCTTTAGACAGGGCAGTTTAAATTCTTGACACTAATAAAAACAAATTAATACAGCCCTTACCTACTCTAATACTAAAAATGATCACAAAACTTAACGGTAACCAGTTAACAACAGACTGTTAGTTTATTCGTTTAATGTTTGATTTGGTCTGCGTGTTTCAATGTATAATATGTATGTATTTACAAAAAAAGTATACCCATATGTATTTATATCAGTTGTCTAGTAGCCATAGTACAAGCTCTGCTTAGTTTAGGACTACATGGCGTTGTGTGAATGTGGTACAACATTATTTATTTTTATTTATATATTCTTACCAAAGAACTACAGAACTATAATGTTAACTGTCCAAATAGTAGTGTACCTACTTAAGTAGAATATCTTGTCACAACACATACAAGTGACGTGATATCACCTAATGGCTCGCTGACATCGTCGACAGTGATAACTAAACACTAACAATTCAATGTCTACGTTGATTGGGGACACTAATGGGCCTGACTGGGTGTGGGTACACTATTTGTTGTACAGCAGTTATAAATAAAGAGTCATATTAAGCAAGTTTGAAAAGACACTGTTTTGAAATTCGGAATAGGTGTAATTGTTAGCCACTGACAGATGAAATTTAGTATAAAAAAGGTTTGTGTCATAAAGTAATTAAAAATTGCCTAATAGTAGACATCTAAAACTTTGTAAACAAATTCTGGTTAAAATGTAATATAGATCGTAAATCAATAATATGTTCCGATGGTGTATTGGTAACGCATGCGACTGTTGTGCTCACGACTCGGGTTTGATTCCCTGGTCGGAACAAATGTTTTTATGATGTCCAAAGATTTGTTTCGGAGTTTGTGTTTTTTTTTTATAAAAATGTACAAAAAAAAGTATAAAAGTATATTCTATCGGTCAATCTAACTTTCATAGTACAAGCTCTACTTAGTTTGAAACTAGATGGCGTTGGGTTAGATGTCCGAAAGTATTATTATTATATGTCCTTCTTCTTTCTAAGGAGAGGCTTATGTCCAGCAGTGGACTGTTAAAGGCTGTTGATGATGATGATGATGATGTCCTTCTTCAAGAATCAAACTATCAGCATACGGAATTTCATCTATATCAGTTTAACGGTAATTCATTCCCCATACAAACTCTCATCCCCCTTTTCACCCCCTTAAATTATTATTATATGCTACTATTTACCCCGATAACCGCCATAACCGACAGCAGCGGGTAAAAGCTTTTTTGCGATGACAAACATAGCTACATTGTTTTCGTGGAGTATTTCCTATGTACCTATTGAAAACTATGTTTAGAACGACACTGTCAAGTTATTTAACTTGTAAAAACAGACAAAACTCTTTAAGAATCAATTGCCGAAATGGACGAACTAACATTCAAGATATACATTCAATTTTATACCCTCGCTATGTAAATCAGACTCGAATATGGCCGGTTTTTTATAAACACGCACATTAACTTCAAGTTTTAAAAGAACGATAAACAATTAAATGTTAGACATTAAATTTATTACAAAATACATTAAAAATTAATGAGGGATATACATATAATTATAGCGTAATACAAACTGAACGATCCACTTTAAGCTTCGGTAGCTCTACAGGGATTTGTTGACGGAGTCATCAGAATAACACTTTAAGAATGTCTATATTATTTATGTAAGTGAGAGCCGACTAATGGAGCAAACTACGCAAGACCACAACACTGCAAAGAGAAGGAAATCTTGACACAAACCCTATACCAACCCGTCTGGCCAGCTTGGTATAGTAGTCCAAAACCTCTTCGGTCGACTGGGACTCTGCCCAGACCACGCTGGAAGACTGCCCCGCATGGGCGTCTGAACGCAAAGTCCTGATAGACCAAATCGGAGGTGACCTCCATGCTGGCGGGTGAGAAAGGCTGTGGCGCAGTGGTCTTTTTCTGTGAAGCTGTAATGCTCCAGAAAGAGACCGCTGAACGGGATGGGGAGAGGGCCGATCCCGAGCGCAGGGGACGTCGGCGACGATAGCAGCCGTCGACGAGGCTGCCAGAGAGTGGGGGACCTCGGGTGGCAGATTAACTTCTGCGGTAGGCGATAGGATGGCGGCTTGGGCCGATAGACGGGGGAAGCCCGTGGCTTGCCTGGGATAGGGCTTTACTAGGCATCGAGCCGGGGGGGACCTAAAATAACATGGTCTGGGTCCTCCTCGGGGTAGGAAGCCTGAGTGGTTTTTAATGGAAACACCAC